CCGCACTCTCCAGGCTCTAGCATGGCTGTGCGTGCAGACCCCAGCACATGCGTGCAAGCTGTGCGCTGCCAGAGCTGTCCACGAACCTCTGCAAGCCCCGGCGATGCTCCGTGCACGGCAGTGCCGTGGGTGCAAGCCCCACTGCCGGTGGTGGGGGTACCTCCTACAGAGAGATACACCCCCCTTGCAGAAACAGCGCCCAGTAGAGAACCTGGGGATTCAGGCAATACCAGAGATTTGCAGCCCCTCACCCCCAGAGGGGTAAACCCCCTCCCAAGACAGACCCCCTGTGGCCTTGAGCATTCCCTCCATATTGTCTGGCCAGGGGCACTCTGGGACCCTCTGGATGTGGCTGAAGCTGCTCTATCCTGACTGCCCATCCATGCCCTCCCTGCAATCCTGCAGCCTTCCACTTAATCCCGTAAGGAGAAGAACAAGTCCTTCAAGCCAGCCCAGCAGCCGTGGCCATGTCTAGGGCATTCCCAGGGTGGGGGAGTACTTGTAGCCACGTCGTCATGATCTCTTTGCCAAAATTCCCACAGAGCTGATGCTGGGCAGGATGGGGCCAGGAGGGATGCCCAGCTCTGCCTGGTGGTGCAAGAATCTATGAGCAGTAGGTCCAGTGTTAGAGCAGGGAAAGTCTCACGGACCACATCACGCCCTGGTGCATCATATCAGTGCCCCAGCTTAGCCCTAGCGTGGCATGTTGCCAAAATTCCCACAGAGCTGATGCTGGGCAGGATGGGGCCAGGAGGGATGCCCAGCTCTGCCTGGTGGTGCAAGAATCTATGAGCAGTAGGTCCAGTGTTAGAGCAGGGAAAGTCTCACGGACCACATCACGCCCTGGTGCATCATATCAGTGCCCCAGCTTAGCCCTAGCGTGGCATGGCAGTGAGAGGAGCAGTCTGGGGATGAGATGGTGCCGAGTCCCCACCGGCGGGGGAGCAGGGCTGGCCCTACAGGACACATCCCAGGGAACTCCAGCTCCCCTCTCCATCCACTTTCCCTCCCCACAGAGACAACGAGCGCTAGCACCTCCTCTTTCATGCCGCCCCCCACCACCAAGATCTGCGACAAGGGGGCTGTGGTGGGCAGCGGGGCCGTGGCAGTGTGTTGGACAGCTGGACTGGTCTTGGCTGCCTATGGTGTCCTCTTTATTTAGTGAGTATCTCCCAAACCAGGGGCGTGAGAGATGGGATGTGGGTGCTAGGAGAGGGCAGGGATATGGGGACCCTGGGGGCTCCAGTGTGTTTGGGAAGAGGATTCTCCAGTCAGGCTGTGGGTGAAGAGAAATGAGACCATTTCAGTTTTTCTTGCAGCTTTTTTGTAAATGCACCAACTCTGGCTGCTTTTCTAGACTGGGTGTTCCGGTGGAGATCTCAAAAATAGCTTTTCAAACATTTTCCACAAAGTCTGCAAAGGGGTTGGTTTTCGATGCCTTGCTGTCAGCAGATCTCCCCTCTCCTGACTGCTGATTTTTTTAAGAGGCAAAGAAACCACGTGGAAATCTAAGCCTTTGCTTTGTGACGGAAGCAAAATTGCGTGAGATCAAAAAATTCAAAGATGTGTCTCAAAAGTGTCCTTGGGCTGGGTCTGACCCTGGGAGGATGAGGTGGTGGGTTTGGGTATCTGGGTTCTGGGAAGGGGCAAATTTTCCTGTGGAAAAAAGCCAAATTCTGCTTGGTATGTCACCTCTGTGGCCGGCCACGGCTGAGCCTGGAGCAGGACGGTGACCCCTCTCCTCCCCATTCACAGATCCCCGTCTGTCCGTCCGTCGCAGCCCAGCGCAGACGCCCTCCCACCACCGCCACCACCCCCTGCCA